TTACAAATCCAGCTAGACCAGAGCATGTACTCTGGTACAGATAGGAGCTTGCAACACAGGGAATCCAGGATAGATAAACCCCTCAGGACTAATAATGGGAGTAGCGATACCAGGAGGGGAAGGGGAAGGTTGGAGGAGAAAGGGAGTACCTATCACATTGACCTATCTATAACTCCCTCCCAGGGGGACGGACAACAGAAAAGTGGGCGAAGGGAGACATTGTTCAGTGTAAGACATGAAAAAATAATAATAATTTATAAATTGTCAAGGGTTCATGGGGGAGGGAGGGCAGAGGAGAGAGGGGAAAAAATGAGGAGCCAATACCAAGGGCTCAAGTAGAAAGAAAATATTTTGAAAATGATGATGGCAACAATTGTACAAATGTGCCTGACACAATGAATGCATGTATGGATTGTGATAGCAGCTGTATGAGCCCCAAATAAAATGATTTTTTTAAAAGGGCTGTAAGAGTCCCCAATAAAATGATGTATTAATAATAAACAAATAATTGCTTGCCATCAATAGCCATTGTTGTTCTTGTTAGGTGCTGTTGAATTGGATCTGATTCATAGTGAATGAATCATATTTTTTTGAGTACAATGCTCACAATTGTGCTTATGTTTGAACCCTCACTGCAACTACTGGCAGTCCATCGCGTGGAGTCTTCCTCTTTTGTGCTGCCCTTCTACTTCAGCCAGCATGATGTCCTTTTCCAGGCAATGTCCCTCCTAATTACATGCCAGAGGACTCGAGACAAAATCTCAACATTTCTAACTTCCAAGGAACATCCTAGCTGTACTTCTTCCAAGACAAACTTGTTTGTTCTTCTGGAAGTCCGTGGTATGTACTTTCTTCACGATATTTGTGTAAAATGATCCACAGGCAATGTACAACTTTCACATGCACAGGAGGCCATTGAAAATGCCATGGCTTGGGTCAGGCGCAACTCAGTCCTCAAAATAACATACTTGCTCTTTAGCACTTTAAAAAGGTCTTGCACATCAGATTTGTCCATTGCTATAGATCAATTGGTTTCTTGAATGCTGCATTCATGAGCACTGATTGTGTATGCAAGCAAGATAAGATCCCGGACAGCTCCAAACTCCTCTCCATTTATCATTGGTCCAGTTGTGAGGATTTAGTCTTCTTTAGATTGAGTTGTAATCCACAGCAAAGGGTGAAATTCTTGATCTTCATCATAAAGTCCTTCAAGTCCTCCTCACCTTCAGATGCAAGGTTGTCTCATCGGCATTATCGGGTTGCTAATACGTCTTCCTCCGCTCGTAAGGCTGCATTCTTCACATAGTCCAGCTTCTTGTATTATCTGCTCAGCATACAAATCAAATATGTATGATGAAAGAATGCAACCCTGAGGCACACCTTTTTTGATTTTAAACTATGAAGTATTCCCTTGTTCTGTTCAATGACTGCCTCATTATCCATGTACATGTTCCACATAAGCACAATGAAGTATTCTGGAATTCCCACTCTTCTCAATCTACCCATGGTTCGCTATGATCCACACAGTTGAATTCCTTTGTACAGTCAATAAAGCACATGTAAACATATTTGTAGAATCCTCTGCATGCAGCCAAGATCTGTCTGACTTTAGTAATGAGATTCTTTGTTCCACCTCCACTTCTGAATCCAGCCTGAATTTCTGGCAGCTCCCTGTCCTTGTATTGCAACAGCTGTTGAATGATCTTCAGCAAAACTTTATTTGCATGTGATATTAATGATATTGCTGGACAATATCTTCATTCTCTTGCATCGCTTTTTGGACTGGATCAAAGGGCAGCATTTATTAATGATCAAAGTTCATAAGGGTTAAGATGAATGGAAACAGGAAAAACAGGGAGGAAGTATGGTAAGTAATGTTACTTTAAAGGAATTGCAACAAATAAGTTAAACAATTTATGAATATTAAACTGATGATCTGTCAGTAAACCTTCACCTATTTCACAACAAAAAGTTTTGTTTTGTTTTTAAGGACAGATATTGTCTTTGTCCTCTATCATTAAAATGTCAAGAAAAGGTTTGCACATTGAGAGAAAATTTTCTTTGATGGTTTCTATGGATGGGAGGCAACAGGAGCAAAAATAATTAAGAGACACATATTATTTTGAGTGAAGGGAAATACAATATACCAAAAAAAAGAAGAATAAAAAGGTGTGATCTGCAAAATGTCATTAAGGAAAAGGAAGATATGGAGACTACAAAACCTAGTACATAGTCATGGTAGTTAAAATAGCTTGGTCCTGGTGCAATGATGGGCATATAAACCAATGGAACACAATAAGAACCTAGAAATAAATGCATCCATCTATAATCAGAAAATTGATTTTAAAATTATTTTAACATATTTCTTGGCACATTATTCACCTATCATACAATTAAATGGTTCAAACAAATTTAAAAGAGTTGTGAAATCATCACTACAACCAATTTTAGAATATTTTCTTCATTCTTGTCTTCATTATTACTAGCTCCTTATTTCCCCCTAACCCTCCCTGCTGTAGCCCTAAGAAACTATTAATCCAGTTACTATTTTTTTAAATACAGTTACTGTTTCTAAAGCTTTATTTACCCTTGATTTCATTGAAGAAAAATATACACAAACAAAAAAAAAACCTTCAACAACAATGACAAAGTAAATCCTAGAAAAACCTCACTCGAAAAGAAAGCAGAAAATG